TTTTTTTTTAAAAAAAGGCATATCTTATTAATATAAAAAAAATAAAAATACCCGAGCCACGAGCTAAAGCTCGGCTTGGCCCACGAGCCGCACATGAGCCACGAGCTCGTGGGCCGAGCTGAGCTCGGGTATTTGTAACGAGCCGAGCCCGAGCTCGGCTCGTCAATGGGCCGAGCCGGCTCGGCTGACACCTCTACATTTAGATCTAGAGGCACATATTATTGTTAGTCCACCTCATTTTATTTTAAAGGAACTACTGCTTGAAAAGTTGACGCTACTCGATCTACAAATATTTAACTTGACCATGGACAATTACTTCAACCCATTTTAAATTTTAAAGTTCAAAGTTTTCAAACACACCATTACGGCATTACCTCTGAACAAGTCACAGAGCAAAGGAGGGGAGAGAAACTGCTATACCAGATTGCCAAGTTGTCAACAGCAGCTTTGGTGTTGAGCACAACTCTAATAAATCGTCTATGACCAGCCCACTCTTGGATTAATGAAGTATATACATCAATGTCACAAGTTAAGTGACCCAGGAGATAAAACTTGAAGTGCATTAAAATTACAAAACATGACAAGGTAAAAGAACTTTCTAGGAAAACATGAGGCGTATTATTATTTGTTAGTAATTGCAACTTTTGAGAACCATGTGAATAATATCTACGAGGTAAAGAATTTGGAGGAAGCAATAGAATTTATACTAAAGCATGCAAAAATATTAACAGTAGTCATCAGAATGTGAAAATCATAATCCACAATAATATAAATCAACAAAATTAACATAATTGACATAACCTGGAATGCATTCATTTGCACAAACCTGCAGATCTTTCAGTTAGCTCTAGCAATGACAACAACAGCTGCTTCTCTGAAATGAGTGACCTCAGTTGCAGTACCACACCTTTAACTGCAAATATGTTAGGCAAGAGAATAGAAAAGTATCCAAAGCAAAATTTAAAGCATTATCTTCTAAAATTTTAGACAGAAGAATTGCCAAAAAGATGAAAAACACAACTGAAGCAAACACAGACCTGGCTGAATTTTTATTCAAACACAGAGTTTCGAATTTTATGATGAGCATAGAAAAATGTGTTTCTATCCTGGATACTTGTCACATAATTTAAGTATCCGCTGGATCGAAATATTTTAGTTCTAGAGCATCCAACATAGAAGTTCATGTCTGTTGAATGTTTTACATATAAAATGAGTAATATTCAAACTACCAGTAACACTAATACGGTTGACTGGAAGAGTTTCCAGTTTATTCAAGCTCTAAAAAGAAACATATTTTCTTGAATAAGCCACATCTCTCATCAGCCCCTTTGTGAATTGGAATTGGAAATAAGAAGAGAATTGGTATCACAGAGATTTTTTCTTTGAATGTAATAATATTGACTAATTCATATCACTAATGCACTAAAATATGCATCATGTTACTTATAAAATAGATCACTACAACTAAAAGTTTCTTCCATTAGCATTTCAATAGCTCATTCAAAATATACGAAATAACCTAGAAACTTCTCCACTCTCCTCTTAGCACCNTAAAAATTTCATCTATTAGCATTTCAATAGCTCATTCAGCATATACGAAAGAACCTGGATACTTCTCCACTCTCCTCTTAGCACCTAAAGAGATGAAAGTTTCCATAAAATTGCAAAATAATATGACTAAAGTGTGCAAACAAGAAACCCACACAGAAACACAAACAAAAATCGTTTTTGAAGCAGGAAATAAATAAATAAAAGAAAAACTGAAGACAAAAAGACAGACCGAGAAAGGAGGACCCTTCTATGGAGAAACAGCGATGAAGGTGGATTGGCTATGGTAGTCTATTGTGGTACAAAAAATTGCAGCCACACATTTTGTTTTTCTAGATTTTAACTTCTACACTGCAACAAAACAAAAACTCCAACCTAACTTTCTTTTGCCTTCTTAATCGTTACAAATTGACAGGGTGAGAATTTGGTCAATCACAATTTTGATTCACACTGAGAATGACAAAATCGGCCAGAAAAAGCTTTAGGAATGACCATAAATGGAAAAGCCCCAATTCTCTTGCAAATAATTCAAGAAATCCTCAAATCCTCACCTCACATCAGATGTTGCAGGTCACGTTGGAGGTGGCGCGTGACGGCGTGAGTTGATCGGCAACCGAGAAAGTTGATTTTTTTTCAATGGACGGCAGTCTGGAGATGGATTTGAATTTAATGTGTGTGATCTTGGGTCGGTGGGGAAGGGACTCGTGCCAGAGAAGCAATAAGGAATTTTGGTAAATAAAGCTTTAAGTTTGTTCCACCACATACACTAAACAACGTCATTTTTTGAAGCAAGGGAAGGAAAAAAAAGGGGAAAATGGAAGACAGCCACAACATATGTTGACACATTGCGGCATGAACAGTAGGCGTATACAAGCTTCTTTTAATAAAAGTAGAAGTGATAACATAATAAAAATAAACGTGTGAAAAGGATGAAACTGCAAATAAGATGAAGATGAAGAGCAATTAATTTTAGAGATTAATAAGTAACTAAAAATGAGAGGTGGGGATAATTTAAAGACTTTACTTTGCGAAGAATGTCTAAGAGATCGCAAAGAAATTAATATTTTGATAAAGCTTAAGTAGAGCAAGAGAGTAACAATAAGAAACCTAGAATAGTAGGATACAGAGGGTAAAGACTGTTTTGAACTAATAGAAAGTGTTTCCAGAGGTTAGAAGGGCATTAATGATATTTCTCAATTATGGGCAAAGTTAATGATGCTATTGCTACGTGTCAAAATTTCCATAACGAAGTGACAAGGCAGTGAACAGGAATTAATGACATTTACTCAATTTTCGGCGAAGTTAACGATGCTTTTACTACATGCCAAAATTTCCGTGATAGAGTCCAA